CGCTGCTCCAATCGTAAATTTATTGATCTCTGGAGTAATTAGTGGAAGGATTCTTTATTTTCCGAAGAACAACCGAAGAGTAATCCTCCCACGTTGCATTATTGCTTGTTTGTCAAATGTTTATTTGTTTGTTCGATCACGAAATAATTTTAGTGATCAGGGTTTTCACGTAGAGCAAGCAAGTGGCTATGGTCTAAAGTGGTAGAATTCATTTTTAGGCTCGTGAAAAGACAGGAGCTCATGCATCCGTGATCTACGTACCCGCTCCCTTCGCGGCTGGCGCCATTGACGAAGCGATTGACGCTGAAATTCCTCTCGTCGTATGTATAACCGAGGGAATCCCACAGCAAGTATGGTTTCAATCCTTCTTACCTTTTGCAGATATTTCTTTCTATAGAACGACTGAAGTTCATGAGCTTCAAGATATGCAGATCTGCAACATTTTAGTTATATATCTTCGCTTTTCATATGCGATGCAAGTTTCTAGCCTTATATTCAATCAAGCCTTTTTTCCAATGCACTATGGCAGATTTCAAGGGTTTCGATGTGCATATTCTCGCCTCATGTAGCTCGATTTTGAGGCACCTTTCCTCTCCTCTATTAAAGGACCACGTTTATCTTTCTCGACTGAGATAATATCTGTTCACATACAGCTATGACCGCACTTTCGTGGTCAGATGGATGTGCAGAGTGGTGTGGAGCATCAAATTACGTTAATCTTTCCAAGGGCCTGAGGGGAATGGTAATACTGCTTTGATCTCCAGTTCAGGTCTCGACCAACCAATAAGCAGAATACTGAAAAAGTAGGAGCCTAAGGTGTTGAAGTTTGGATTGTTGTTGAAGTGCTTATCAAGAGAAGAGAAGACTCAGATTATCTCCGCTTTTTCTTTTAATCTTCATCAAAGTCAATATGATTTCATTTAATGTTGTTGAAGTTTCAAACATGTTAATTTTCTCAGTACTTATAGGACATGGTTCGTGTGAAGAATCGTCTCATGAAACAGAACAAGACTCGCCTTCTGGGTCCGAACTGTCCAGGAATAATATCGGCGGAAGAGTGCAAAATAGGCATTATGCCGGGACATATTCACAAAAAGGTTTGCATTATTGACTTCTCAAAAAGGCTCCTTTATATTTTATGTTGAAGGGTATTATTGGTATCGTG